TTATTTTGAAATCCATAAAAATCGAAACCTCCACCCATTCTTGAAGGTTGGCATAAAAGTCAAGATGCAATTTGAGGATCAACAATAAATTCCTGGCATGGGAGAGGTGAAATGTTGGGATGTGAAGTCCTGTCTGACAGGCACTGCTGGGTCTTTACAGACTTAGGATAGGGTTGTTTCCACCCTCGGTGCTAAGAGGGTGGCTCAGTTGGTAAAATGTCTGTTGTGAAAGCCAGAGGACCTGAGTTTGATCCCCAGCATCCACCCAGAAGGCCAGGTATGGTGGTGTATACCTGTGATCCCAGGGCTAGGCAGGTGGAGACAGGTGGATCCTGGGGGCTTGCTGGCTAATGCCTGGGATGAAGCCCAGGTCCCAGGAGAGACCTTTTCTCAGCATCCAAAATGGGCAGCCTGTGAGCAACAACACTGGAGGTTGATATCTGGCCTCTGCACTCGTGCACATACTTGTGAATTTACAGACATGTGAATTTGCCCCTCTCTTATAGTTGGTTCTAGCCTTATCTTCTGTTAGCAGGAAGGATGGCAGTCTGTGCTTTCAAAACTGCTCCCCTCCCTATCTATAGCATTGTCCTATTTGGGGGATCCTCCAAGGGAAACTTGCCTGGGCCATGATGCTGTTATTATGCAATAGTCAGTTGATGTGGTTTTCTGTGGGGTGACTGCCATTCCTTTCACGTCCTTACTATTAGAGGTACCCCCTTTCAAAACTCAGAACACACTGGCAATTAGCCAGAGAGCCTGGGTCCCTTACCATGGTCCCCAAGGGGCTAGTAATTACTCCTCCTTTAGCAAAGTGTTTGTCAGAAAGAGAAGTTGAACTTGGGATTCTTCTGCCCATTTGTTACTCAGCCACATCTAAAGGGGCAAAGCATTTTTCTAACCGACCTCTGCTGCTCATTGTTTTGTGTTGATCCCATCACTGTGAGCATCCTTTTCCCAGCAACTGCTCCTTTACTCCCAGAAGAAGACGCCATGGTTGTGCTCCAGTGTGCCCACATTAGGTCCCAAGTTGACTTAGAAAAATAAACAGGATTTTGAACGCTAAGCAAGTCCTCTGATTCTCATAGGAAGCTGAATTGCAAGTCACCATGTCTCAGGTTTTTTTCATTTTGAGGAAATGACACAGGGAGGTTACATTTTACTTTTACTCAGTCAGAATGTTAACAAGAACAAAGTGACTATCTTGGACCCCGCAGTAAGAGAGAACACTGTATTAATGTGCACAATTTCCTTTGCTAGATTGAGTAAATACAGCTGTGTGATGGTTGTTTTGCTCAGCTCACCGAAGACTGGGTCAAAACTTGGCTAGAAGTTGACTCTGATCGCTGGTTCTGAATTTGAAAACCCTGTTCTTAGAAATCGATTAATCAAACTGGGGCATCCTTAATGTTCTTCTTTTAAGTCTTTTATCGGCAAGTCTTTTATCTGGATTCAGAATTATAATAGCACTGCCACTTCTTCTGATGTTTAGCAATGTTCCCAGCACCTGTGGAGAATCATTTGTTCACAGATGGGTAGCTTTGTTGTGTCCTCTTATCAGAGTACAGTGCTAAAGAGAAAGTGTTCAGTAAGGTTATTTAAATTTGTTTCTAATAACACACATCAGTGTGTTGACGAGAGGACTTCAGGTGTATTAGGTGTATGTGTGCGCATGTGTGTGCAGGCATGTAGGTGCAAGCATGTGCATGTATTCACACCTCTGTGTATTTAGAGTCATCAGTTACATAGGTCCACAAGGAAAAATACACATTTCCACCGGATTAAACGCGCTTTGTAAAGTACAGAAACGAACCTTTGGGGTCACGTTTCCAGTTTCATCTCCATATCCTAACGAGGCGAGGAAGATTAAAATATCTACTGACAAGATGTGACTCTGCATTTCAATTATCTTGACAGCTTCTCATCTTTTTTTTTTTTAATGATTTAGTAATAGCAGAGTGTGGCAAAGTAGCTGAGTTTCTCCCACAAAATATCAGAAATGTTTTTCATTTTAATATACTTTCAAAGATCATAAAATGTTCCTAAGAGTGACATTTGAGCCTCAGTATTTATGACTTTCTGATTGCTCTAGCAGTTTAGGAAAAAAAAAATCTAAAATGAGCCCTCAAGTAAAATTTAAGTGAAAAAGATTAAAATTCAGAGTTATGGTCCTCTTTCATTTGAACAAATATTCATGTTTTCCTGCATGTTTTATGGGCCAACCCTAGTTTCTCAATATTGGACAGTTTTCGAAAAAGTGCTTCATTTCTCTCCCAAAATATACGAGCTGTTTTATTTTAGTTTAGTTTTTGCAAACTACCCCGTTTTGCATCAGCATCATTTACCCGGCTCATCTTTTACACTATGAGCTGGCCACACGCACCATCTGCCCAGAAATGAATGGGGCACAAGTCGAAGCGAAAGAGTGAAGGAAAGTAGATACATGGCAAGCACCTTTCTTTATCCTTAGGATTTTCACACTGCAACGAAATCCACACAGCTGATGTGTAAATGTGTGCTTGAATTAATTTTCTCTTTAACCTTCCTGTGAATCTGTGTTGCTTCCTCATTCATATGTATTGAGTCCTTTGGCTAAATTCTAATTGTATTTCTTAATCCAAAATACAGCTTTTTAATCAGTTTATGAATTTCACGACTGTTTTCCCCATCATACGGTGTTTTAAAACAGGTATTTAGTGCAATGTGTTATTGATGTCTTGTTATTTGAGGAAGCGGGGAGTGGTGTGATGATGGCTTCCCATTACAAAATGTGCGGTGAAATTTCATCATAGAATGTCTCACTACTGCTAAAAGGACTGCGGATGTGGGTGGAGAAAATGCGAATGCGGTTGACAGCCCCACAAAGCAAGTGAGAAAGAACAAGAGCCTGCAGGGACTTACTAAGGATGATAACTTTATTAAGGTTCATTAAAATGTCCTAAGTTTTATCAACAACTTCAACCTATATTTTCTCCTTGAGGAGTCTAATTAATTAAACTCTTCAATAAGTTATCTGAATGTTCTCCATGCTCTATTTTAGATGATGGTATAATGTAAAATAGCAGACTCAAAGCTCCATCCTTGTAAGACTGATATGTGAATGAATCCTGGTGCAATAATAATAATAAAATAATAATAATGATAATTTGCAAAGAGTTGTTATTTGAGTTTGTGGAATCATATAGAAAAGATCCAAGTGGTTATACATTGAACCTTAGTAAAGAAATCAAAACAAGTAACTCAAAATTAGATAGTTAGGCAATCATAGTACCAATGAAGACCCCACGTTTTTAGATTCGGCATCTAAGTACGTAATGTGGTCAAGAGAAGACACAACCAAGAAGAAGGTAGCATGGATGGCAGAGACAGCATTAGGGCTGTTTGGAGAAGGTTTGAGATTTTTCTCTCTTCCCAAACAGGCATGGAAGCGTCTAAAAGGCAGATGGTAAAAGTGCCCTTGCATTTGATCTGCAAGGAAAATTTTATTCTAAACAGAACAAAGCAAAAAAGAAATAAAACTGGACTTGGTTAATTATGGAAAATTTAAGGATGGTCCAAACCTATATTTAGCTTTAACTGTCGTTCTACAGGAGGAGAGACTTGAGTTTGAGCCTCCACTCCCCCCACTTCTACTCTTTACTTCGTGTGACTAATTATGTTTCCTATTATATTCCCCATTAAGGGAAAGATGATCATCCGTCTGCAGGCCTCGTTTTACACTACTGCTGCTGGTCACTCATGGGTTCAAGAGCAAACCTCTTCCCTAAGCCTCCGCTTGGTCTTGAAACCCACAGCAGGTGACACTGGAGACCAGAACACAGTCTGGACTGATAGCTGACCCAGTTGATATTTAACACTGGTAACAAGGATTACCACTCTTGGGAATATACCCAAGAGATGCCCTATCATACAACAAAAGTATATGCTCAACTATGTTCATAGCAGCATTGTTTGTGATAGCCAGAACCTGGAAACAACCTAGATGCCCTTCAATGGAAGAATGGATAAAGTATGGAATATATACATATTAGAGTACTACTCAGCAGTAAAAAACAATGACTTCTTGAATTTTGCATGCAAATGGAAGAAAATAGAAAACATTATCCTGAGTGAGGTAAGCCAAACCCAAAAAGAGGAACATGGGATGTACTCACTCATAGTTGGTTTCTAGCCATAAATAAAGGACATTGAGCCTATAATTCGTGATCCTAGAGAAGCTAATAAGAATGGGAACCCAAAGAAAAACATATAGTCATCCTCCTGGATATTAACCTTCATCAGGCGATGAAAGGAGACAGAGACAGAGACCCACATTGGAGCACCGGACAGAAATCTCAAGATCCAAATCAGGAGTAGAAGGAGAGAGAGCACGAGCAAGGAACCCAGAACCACGAGGGGTGCACCCACACACTGAGACAATGGGGATGTTCTATCGGGAACTCACCAAGGCCAGCTGGCCTGGGTCTGAAAAAGCATGGGATAAAACCGGACTTGCTGAACATAGTGGACAATGAGGACTGCTGAGAAGTCAAGAACAATGGCACTGGGTTTTGATCCTACTGCACGTACTGGCTTTATGGGAGCCCAGGCTGTTTGGATGCTCACCTTACTAGACCTGGAAGGAGGTGGGAGGTCCTTGGACTTCCCACAGGGCAGGGAACCCTGATTGCTCTTGGGGCTGATAAGGGAGGGGGAGTTGATTGGGGGAGGGGGAGGGAAATGGGAGGCGGTGGCGGGGAGGAGACAGAAATCTTTAATAAATAAATAAATAAATAAACAAAAAACCCCAAGGATTAGCAGAAGATAACGGTTAATGTTAAACATAATGCATGTGCAGATGCTGTGATACATGACAGAAACCGTCACAGTTACAGCTTCTTTAAGCAGTGGAGACACAACAGAGGAACAGGGATCTTGACAACCATGTGTATGACTGAGTCCCCGCCTGCAGGAAGCAGAGCCTGCGTGAGCCCAGACTGTTCTGATGCCCAGTTACTCACTCGTGCCAGGCTGGTCCCAGAAGGAACTTTGTAAGGGACATACTTCCTGTAGATATGGCCGACTCTAGAGCATGGAACGTCAAACATTTCTCCTCCACACATCCAAACCTAAAGAGGAGAAAATAGAACAAAAGAGAAGGGTCAATTTCACCAGAAGGAATTACTAATGTAATTTATGAAACAGTTACATATTTTCTTTAAAAATATTTTATTTTATTATTTTGTCAACCAACCTGGGCTACAGAGTGAGTTCCAGGAAAGCTCAGGCTGTTATAAAGAGAAACCCTGTCTTGAAAAAAAAAATTATTTTTAAACTACGTGTGTGTGTGTGTGTGTGTGTGTGTGTGTGTGTGTGAACATGAGAATCTGTGGAGACCAGAAGATTGTGTTGTATCCCCTGGAGCTGGAGTTACAGGTAGTTGTAAACTGCTCGCTCTGGGTGCTGGAAACTGAACTTGGGTCCTCAGGAAGAGCGGCAACTGTTCGTTAGCACAGACTCATCTCTCCAGCCTCTTATAGTTCCCTTAATGTCTCAGTTGAATAATTTCTGTCACAGGTGGCTAACGAAGGAAAAATAAAACTGAAAATATAGATTACGAATGCATAGAACAAAAACCTAGTTCCATAAAACTATTTTTTAAAAAGACTATTTATATGCATTGTTGTTTTTCCTGCATGTGTATCTGTATCACGGTGTAGGGTATCCTGGAACTGGGATTACAGAAAGTTGTAAACTGCTACGTGGGTGCTGGGAATTGAACCTGAGTCCTCTGGAAGAACAGTCAGTGCTCTTAACCACTGAACCATCTCTCCAGCCCCTATCCTAAACTACTTTTTAAGATAGCATCCTGGAATTTTTTTTACCCAAGAGAATTTTCATCAAAATTATTAATATTGAGCCAGAACTTGATGCTTAGATATCTTCTTTGTATGGATACTTTCTTTTGATAATTTTTTCAAAGTATTTAGAATATATCACTAGATTTAAAAATTGAAATTATAAAGGTGGAATTTTCACGAGATTGAAGTCAATAATGAAACCTATCCGTGGTGCATGTTGAATCTAGATTCTGATACTTGGAGCAGGATTAATCTTAAAAATAGTGTTGCAAGTGGTTTTTTAAACATAAAGCAAAGAAAACCAGCCTACAAATCACAATCCCAGAGAACTTAGACAACAATGAGGACACTAAGAGCGACTTACGTAGATCTAATCTACGTGGGAAGTAGAAAAAGACAAGATCTCCTGAGTAAATTGGGAGCATGGGGACCTTGGGAGAGGGTTGAAAGGAAGGGGAGAAGCAGGGAGGGGAGCAGAGAAAAACGTAGAGCCTAATAAAAATCAATAAAAAAAGAAAAAAAATTAGTGTTGTGTTCTCATTTCCCTGAACTACCAGTCTTTTAGGAACATATGACTGGTGCCTGATATGAATTTTGTGCTGTGAAATCAAAATGCATGTACTTAGATTCTATACTTAAGTATAATAAAATGATTAACTGGATATATTGCATTTAACTGTGACAAGCCATGTGGACAGACACATAGTCATAGACTTACATAACAGATTGTATACTATAAAATAATTTAACTATCAAAACATATATCTAGGTTTCATAAAAATATACTTTTACCAATTTTCTCTGCAACAAAAAAATTAAAGGGTTAGTGATAGTTGCATGGTTTATGGTATGTGCTAACCTGTCTGGTCTATGGTGCCAATTATTTGTACATGTGGATGTTTCTGTGAAGACGGATTTTGTTTTTTGCGTTAAATTGAAGCTTAAAGTCAGCGTGCCTTGAGCAAAAATATTACCCTTCATACTGTTGATAGGCCTCATCCAATCAGCGGATGATGTTAAGAAAATGAAGACCACCTAACAAAAACCCCAATACCAGACAATAGAAACCTTCTTTTGAGTTATTGGTCCGGGCTGTTTAAGAGATTCCTAAAACATACTGCCGAATGCTATTGCCCTTGGTTATTTCCAGAGGTGGAAGATTAGTTTCTATTACTAAAGACTCATGAACTTCAGAAACAGGGCCCTGAGATGGAACTGACTTGAATTTCCCCTAAGGAGCTTTCACGGTACCAGAAGGTGCCACACAAGCTTGCAAAGGAGAGACACAACCAACAGTCCTGTTCAGACATGATGTCCACGAGCACAGAAATGACCAGCATAGCACAACAATTCTACGGGGTCAGCAGCAGCACACATAGCTTGGTGGTAACCAATGGCACTCTAATTGGACTTAAGACACACTCAACAAAAGAGAGACCATGCTTAGTGCTGGAACCTAGCTATCTAATCAGTGCTAGTGAAATCATGGTTACTGGAGGAGAATATATAACCAATAATTTACTAAGCTACCACAGGACCTAACTACAATATATAAATATGTGTCTTCATGCCCACATATAACTCTTATCTTCACCCCTCATCAAGAAAACTTCTCTTTGCAATAGACAGAGAGGCTATTACAGAAAATGACAACCAATTATAATGCAGCGTGTGGAGCCTAGTCTCAATGGATAGATCTACAAAACACTCCCACACCTAAGGCTCAGGGAACATTGCAGATGAGGTGGTAGAAATATTGTAAGAGCCAGAGGATCCAAACACCTAATCCTGCCTTATAGAAAAATTAAAAATAAAAAACAAAACAAAATGAAGACTAATGAAGAAGAATTCTGCAAGTAGACTTTTATTGGCTCTGAACTAAACTATTTCCAGATCTTCAGGTTGCCAGCATTCCCTGAAGAGTTTGGCATTACCAAGTCATGTGAGCTAGAGCTTGAGTCTTTCTCTTCTCTTGGTTTCACGTCTCTGGTCCCTTGACTGATACACACCCGTAGCCTGTTTCAAAGTGTAACATCTGAGGAGATAGGGAGGAATGTTTAAATTTCCATGGAAACACATATTTCCTTTCAAGTTTTCTTAATCAGAGGAATGACACCTTATCACGAGACTGGATGAACAGCGAGGGCCTAGGGGAGCCCAAGGGGAGCCATTGCAATTATGAAAATGGTGTCCAGCTTCTCTAATTGGGTTCAGACCGCTCAGGGTATTGAATTCAACCTGATGGAACATTTAGGAATGACATGGACTGATGCATTGGAAATATGTGTGGTGGTATAAGTCTAAGAGGGGCAGTGAATGTTCTAAACTCTAGTTGCGGTATCCAGAAAAATCTGAAGAGATTATGGTGTAAAATTAAAACTAAAAAGGTAAATATAATGTGCTGGTCTAGGATATAAGAAAGAAAATGAAAACAATCAACAATGACAATGACAAAAACAAACAGCCTACCAAACCATCAAAAAAAAAAAACTCTTCTCAAGCAGAAGCCAAATATAGTGATATTTTATTTGTATTTTAATAAATAAAGCTTGCCTGAAGATCAGAATACACTAGTCAGCCATACAGGCCACACAGTGGTGGCACACACCTTTAATCCTAGAAGCCACACTAGTTAGCCAGAGGCCAGGTGGTGGTGGTGCACGCCTTTAATCCTAGCACTAGTGAGAAGTAATATGGGAGGAGACAGGAGCTCAGGGCTCAGTCTGCAGTCTGAGGTTTGGTGGAGAGCATCGCAGTCTGCAATCACACTGAGGATAAAGGTAAGAACTCTCTAGTGGCTTGGCTGCTTTGCTTTTCTGATCTTCAACTTGGAACCCCAATATCTGTCTTTTCGTTTTTATTACTTGTGCTTGATCTGACACCCAACATGGGGCATATGTAGCACCAGAAGAATATGGAGACTTTCAGGCTCAAACTGGGCTTTTTGTGCAGGTCTGAGACATTTTGCTGATTTCTGGGGAAATGACTTTTGAAGAGAATTACCCTGAAGGAAAGGGAATTTCCCCAAGAAAGGATGGATGGAACAGAAATTATGTGACTAAAATCCAGAGGAGCTTTGTCATATAGTTGAAGAACTGAAGAGCCGGAATAGATGTTTTTATAGAATGGCAAGGAAATATTACCAGGGTTGATAGTGTTGAGACAGGTTAGAAGCCAGCTGAGGGAAGAAATTCCAAATTATGTGGATAATGATGAAGTGGACTTCCTGCATCACTAGATACACTGAAAACTGAAGAAGGTGAGATGTTGGGTACAAGCATATAATCTGACTGACAGTCAATGTAGCTGATACTTAATGCTAATATTGATGACAGAAATTAGTGTGATTGCTTATTGAATCTTTCCAGTGGATTATTTTCCTTGGTGCTCACAACTCCAGGTCAGACTTTATAATTTTCTCAGTGGTAGAGGTGTCTAAAGTTTGTTCTAAACTGTGCAACTAGGACTGGGGTTGGAGCTCAACGAGGAGTGTTTCCAACCACGCTTAAAGCAATGGGCTCCATACTCAGCACTGTATAAAGTCGGTGTGCCGGTGCAGGTCTAAAATCCCAGCACTTAAGAGGTAGTGGTAGGAGGGTCAGAATTTCCCAGGAGACGTGTGACCCTATCTCAAAAAGGATATTTGAAATAGAGTAGGCTAGTATGGCACCCAGGTCCTTAATCAGTATTCTATCTGCAGAGTGAGCAAATTCCTCAGACTTGAGAATTAATAATGTATCATTTTTTAGGACATATGGTCTCTTTTGGAGCTATGCAACTTTGCTAATGAATAGGCATGGCTGTATTTCAATAAAATTTTGTTTCTAAAAAGGGGCACAGGACCATGGTTTGCTGCCCATCTTTCTCTAAAGCACAAAGCATTCCACACAGGGAAATTCAGTTACTCTAAACCAATGTATGTGGGAGATTATAATTTCCAAAACCAGACACCATAGAATATTTCACCCCATATGGTCCTTTATTTGTGGCTGAGTATTCTCCCATTGAGATGCATCGAGGTGTAGATCTAGGCTCTTTCTCCTTGAATTTGAGTCAGCTTGTAAATTCTTAAGCCAGGAGACTACAGCAGAAATTGCCAAGTCTGTGTCATGAATGGCAGCATAGCTTCTGCCTACCTAATGAGAGCGTTGTTTTTGTCATTCTGAGCTGCTACACCAAAGAATCCGATTCCATGATGCTACCACATCATGAAGTGGAGACCACATGAGACTCCGTGTGGAGCTTTCTGTTCAGCAGCCTTGGCTGAG